GATGGTTTTCTCTGCACAAGTTAACATGTCATTAGGTACGTATAGTAATTTTTTTGGCCTTTACTTTTCAGTCAAGGTTTTTTTAATGCTTCATCTGAGGGACAAAGCAAAAAACTCCTTTGTGTACACAAAAAAATCCAGCAGTAAAATACATTATGCTCCATTTGTGGATAAATTTGAAAGGAATTTTTTTAAGAAAAATATTTCCATTTATTAAACTGCCTTATTTCGAGTTATACTATTGATTCAGAATTATCACTCTGTGTTGGCTCTGCATTGCTGTCCCTCACCCAGGTCTTTGTCTGGGTCTTCTGGCTGTGTGACATCTCTGCTGTAGAGTTACGAAACATCTTTTTTGCAAACTTCAAAGAAAAGACGGTTGCTACATTTGTGGTACAGAGTGGTAGAATATACCAGATGGGCAGGATATAGATAGATAGATAGATAGATAGATAGATAGATAGATAGATAGATAGATAGATAGATAGATAGATAGATAGATAGATAGATACTGTACATTTTACTCACCTTTTGAATATCTATAAGTACTGCCAGTATTATCTTATGATTCTTGTATTGCAGTATATCCAGTATACTGTTTTGCAATAGATGGTTATAAACTTATTAAGTGGGTTACATTTCCCTTGAAATAGAGGGTTTGTAGTCTGGGAATTCTCAAAAGTCCTATTCAGTGGCTTATTGCTAAATCTGTAAATGCAAGAGCTCATGACTAAAAGTGCCATAGTCAGCCCATCCCACAAACAGCTGGTTGATCAACAAATGAGCAGCAAGTATTTTATAAAGTTGTAAAGCAGGAATGGTCGTCCGACATGGAAGTTTAACATCGATGCCCACCAAGTGAATTGACTGGCTAACTCTGGTGTCACAGTCAATTTCATGGGTGGGTGGTCTATCACTGGATTGAATAGTGGCAAATAGATTGGAATGATCTCATTTTGAGTCTGGCATGCTGGATTACCGATTTTGTAGACACCATGAGCCCGAGGAGGTGTTGAACATGACGGGCTGGAACGGAAGTTTGAGATCAAAAGGGGCAAATTTCCTTCTTTAACTTTTTAACTCGCTCCAGAGGGATGAAGGCCCTGGCTTGCATTGAGTTGAAGAGGGCTCCGATGTAGATGACTGTCTGTACTGGTTTGAGATGAGATTTTGTATAGTTTACTTTGAATCCGAGGTTCTGAAATGTGTTGAACATGATGGTTGAAGCTGTCATGGCATTTTGGTATGACGTCGCAACTATCAGCCAGTCATCTATGTATGGGTAGATGTTTATACCCTGAAGGCGGAGATGCGCTGCAACTGGTGCCAGGCACTTCATGAAAGTCCTCGGCGTCGTGGAAAGTCCAAATGGTAGGGAACAGAATTGGTACACCATGTTGTCGAATTGGAATCTGAAAAATTTTTGATGAGATGGATGGATCAAAATATAGAAGTAAGCGTCCTGTAGACCGATCACAACAAACCATTCTTCCCTTTATCTGGGGTTTTTGAAAGGGCTGGCATCGATGGGACTGATTTTGATTCTGAAAGGATTATGTTGATGGTGGTGGACCTTGGAAGGAACTGCCAACTGGTTGTGATCTGAATTGTTGATAAGGCTGGAATCTCTGGTTGGATTGTTGTTGAAATGATTGAGGATAGAATTGAGTCTGTCTGTATTGAGGTTGTTGGTATTTAAAGGATTGTTGATTGGTGTGTGATCTTGCCGTTTTCTGTATTTTATAAAGGTTTTCCATAGTCTCATCTGTTTTCTGATTAAAGACACCTGTGCCGTCGAAGGGAAGGTCTTCTATCCTTGACTTGGCATCATCAGACAGTCCGGTGGATCTAAGCCAGGCGTGTCAGTGCAACGCTATCGAGGATGCTAGGGTCTTCGATGTCACATCGGCTGTATATCTAGCTGCAATCCTTTGTAGTTTTGCCAGTGAGGTGGCCTCAGTATGGGCATTAATACGTTCAGTTTTGATTGATTCAGGTGCAGATTCCAATATCGGGAGAAATTTGTTGCAAAGTTGGCGCTGATAAGCGCCCATTGCCGCTTGATAGTTGGCGACTCTAAGTGAAAAGGATTGGCACGAATAAATTCTTCTACTGATGATGTCAATTTTCTGACCCACTTATAGTAGGGGCCACAGAGTTCTGGCTCTCATTTGGTTGGACTCAACAATTATAGAATTGGGAGTAGGATATTTGGCCAAAAACTCGGTGTCCGTTCCATTAGACTTTTACAGGTTTTCAGTCCGTCTTGAGATTTGTAGTGTAGATGGTGGCTTGTCCCATGCTTCCTTGATTAGTTTGAGCATTGATAGAATAAAAGTAAGACTAAATGGAGGTGTCCTTTCTTGATTAATGTCGTTGAAGATGAGAACTGCCTCAGGGAAGGTTCTTCGACATGTAGGGATAGGGATTTAGCCATTCTGGATATCATCTGTGAATAAGAAGTGAAATCCTCTGAAGGAGATGATGATTATCAATAGCATCTGAGGTTGGTGTAAGGAGGTTGGATGATAAGGTAGTGTGTATCACGCACACTTCGGTTCTTGATAACATTTATTCATTCATTCATTCATTCATTCATTCATTCATTCATTCATTCATTCATTCATTCATTCATTCATTTATTTATTTATACATACTCCACCAATCTGGTCTACTCGACCACTCTAGGCGGCTTCCAGTATAGGATAAAACAATATGACTGTCCTTGGTATACTTCCATGTGATATGGATCGCAATACTGGACAAGTTCCTCCCCGTCAAAATGATGGTACCGTGGAAAATTGGTATACTGGTAGTACTCTCCGTACGGAGGCATATATCGAGGAGAAATATGCTTCCGTTTCTCCCAATGTTTTTTGGGGGGAGAGTGTTGAAGAGAGTCCGATCCAGAAAGTTGGATTTCAATTGCCCAACCTGATGCAGGCTAGAATGGGCCAAGGCCTGGCTGGATGGTCCATCAGCCATTGAGAGGCCAGTGTGCTTCCATTTCTCCCGATGTTTTCAGGGAGAGTGTGGAGAAGAGTCCTATCCTGAAAGTTGGATTTCAATCACCTGCCCTGATGCAGGGCTAAAATGGGCTGAGGCCTGGCTGGCTGGTGCACCAGCCACCAAGAGACCAGTGTGTCCCCGCCTCTGATGGTGAATCTTGTCATTCTGCTGCTTGGTTTAGATTAGAATGTAGAGCTATATGCCACCAAAACCAGGAAGGATATCAAGTAAGAGAAGGTAATGCTTTTTTGAGTTTTCCCACTTCTTAACCCTTCAGGAAAACCTGTTCATTGGTTTAAAAGAGGCAGTGCATTGCATGTAGGATCTTAGAGAAAACAGTAATTTTTGGTGCTTCTCTGTTGCATCAGCATATAAGGTCAGTGTAGAGGACACAGATAGAATCTGTCCAATTGATTAATGAGTATGATCACATGAGGGAATAGATTGTATTTTGGATTGCTTGTGCAACTGTCCAGTGTAATCTACAGTACAGTGGTGCTTCGCTTAGCGATCGCTCTGTTTTATGGTGAAATCACTTAGCAATGGACTTTTTGCCATCGCCAGAGCGATCACTTAGCGATGACCCCTATGGGTAAAAATCGCTTTGCAATGATTGCGGTGACACGATCATGGCAAAGCGCCCATTTTTAACAGCTGATTGGCGGTTCCAATGGCCGCCGGAAAAACAAAATGGTGACCACTATTTTGCCTCACTTTAGAGGCACCCAAAATGGCCTATTTATTTATTTATTTATTTATTTATTTATTTATTTATTTATTTATTTATTTATACCCCGCCCATCTGGTCTAAAAGACCACTCTAGGCAGCTTCCAATATAGTAAAAACAGTGAAATAATACAAAAAACACAAACAATTACATAAATCATATTGTAATAAACAGAATACAACGCGTTTTAATGTGTTCCTATGGGCTTTTTAAAATCGCTTAGCGATTAAATCGTTTAGTGACGTTTTTCCTGCATGGACTAACATCGCTAAACGAGGCAAAATCTAGACCGTCCAGTGGAATGTGATGCTATCACACACCCTCACATGATTATGTCATGGGAATGAGCTCTAAGTCTCTCATCATAATTTCTTATAAAAATGTCACTGCTAGGAAAGACCTGTTGGAAATTGATGTCCTGAGGCTGTTGACAGGAAACTCCAGAGTAGCAGTGGCAGATGATGTCATAGTCCTTGTTACTCAGAAACTGTCAAGTCTTCAATCCTGCAAACTGCGGCTCCACTATGCCACTGCTTAGTTATTGTTAAGGCAGGTATACTGTACAGTACTTACCACTGGCACAAGGGACCTCTCCAGTCCTACACTCTTTTTCCATTTCCATCATGCACCTCCACATGATGTAGGCAACAAGTCTGAGGAGGCCAGCTTGGGCTATCCATAGGGCTCTTGATGTGAGTCAAGAATGCATTCATACATAGACCTCTCATAGGTGGTGCTCGCTCTTTTCTTCAGGTTCATTGCCCTCCTTGCATAGGAGAACCATTAAATTGGAAAGAAGGCAGCCAGGGCTACTGCACTCCCCTCTATACAGCTGCCTTAATAACAACTGAGCAGGACCCTGGGTTAAGGCTATGGCCTGTGTTCCTACCTAGTGGGAGCAAAGTAGGAAACCTTCCTTCTTCTGGAGGGTCAGCAGTGTTAGTTGGTGGCAGTAAAATCAACAAAGAATGTTAAGGCACTTTAAAGCTAACAAGTTTTATTTGCAAGATTTTTCATGAGCTCCAATCCATGAAAACATTTTGCCAGGAAAACTGGTTCATTTATTCAGATGCCACAAGAATCATTGTTGTTTTTCTGTCCATCAACATTCTGTCCTCCAAATGTTGATGAACTGTGTGCTGGATGGCAAACTCACCATATAAAACACAGACACACACTATTTCATGGATGTTGTGTCACCAGATTAGTAGTAGCCAGAAGCATAGACATTCCATACACAATCTCTTCAACATAGAGAGGCTATTTTTAAAGAGTCTCTTTCTTTGCCCGGGTAGTCAGTACATAGCTGTGGAAGGCAGGGACTTACGGGTCTTCCCCAGCATGTGAGAACATTTGTGGGCTACCTTTCCTTACACTGTATCATAAATGTCTTTATTACAACCCAAAGGCAAGGATAGGTGATGCTTTTTTAAGACCACACACACACAAAGATCAGATCCCACGTGCGCTAAACGGTTCCTAGCCATCTGTCAAACAGCCTACATGCAGCGCGCCTGCGCCTTGCCGAAGCTTCCATGGTTGATGTCCACAGTGGGAGCATTTTTACTCCACACGCGAATCAATAGCCAACAACGCCCGCTCTTCTGCTCATCCTGATTGGCTTACCCTTCCCTCCCTCGCCGTACAAGATGACGTCAGCATCCCAGGCCTCCCTCTCAAGCTTCTCTGCGCTTGCGTAGTCAAGGAGTTTCCGGTCTCAGGAAAGCGCGTGCGCGCTGGCGGTTTGTGAGGGGGCGGGGGGGGAGAGCTAGCTGTCACGGTGGGCGCCGCCACCGCCCGTCCTTCCGTTTGCCGTTGCTGTGGCAGCCGGGGCCTTCCGAGGCCTTGGCTACGAAGCCCTCAGGCGCCACGGAGGCTCCGGGGAATACGAGCGGCAGCTCGGCCGCCTTTTCCTCGTCCTCTTCCCCGTCCCCATCCCCGCCGCAGTCGCTCACGCTGCTGGTGATGCAGCCCTGCGGCGGGGACGGGGAGCCGGTGGGCGCCGCCATGCTGCAGCCTCAGGTGATCCAGCCGACGCCCGGGGTGGCCTCGGAGGCGGCGCCCTCGGCGCAGAGCAGCTTCATGGTCTTCTGCGACCTGGTCCCCGCCGCT